ATTTGGGGAAAGTCCTGTGGGAAGGAGTGGGGCAGTGGGATTTGGGGCACTGGCAAGTGCTCCTCTGCCAGGTCCTGTATGCTGCATATGTGCCACATCCAGCTCTTCTCAGACCCACAGAGCCCAGGCAGTAAGTGCCAGGGGAGAATTACGTTGGATATTGGGAGAATTGCTTCACCCAAAAGGTTGTCCAGCCCTGGCACAGCTGCCCAGGGCAGTGGTGGAGTCCCCATCCCTTGAGGGATTTAACAGACACGTGGATGTGGCACTTGGGGATGTGGGTTAGTGGTGACCTTGGCAGTGCTGGGGAATGGTTGGATTTGATGACCTTAGAGAGCTTTTCCAACCCAAACCATTCCATGACTCAGGAGCCTGCTGGCCCCAGTGTGTTCATACTGAGTCCCATGTGTCAGCACTGACCTTGCTGCCTTGCTGCAGTTGCTTGGATTTCTCTTTCCAGTGGGATGCTGGACTCCAGAGTTGTGCTCTGGGTCCACAGAAAGAAGATGAGTAATGGATGAGTAAAAGCAAATGAGAAGATCTAAGTGACTGCTTAATGCAGCTTCTCTCCATCCTTCCTCTGTCACGTTGCCACAGAAGGGACATGAGAAACTCTCTTAAAAATTAGTTGTACTTAACACATCAGGATGGGCACCAGGCACCAGAACTACTTTAGGAAACTCCTTGTTTGGAAAAGTTCTGTCTGATGTTCAGAGGAGGGCACAAAACAGCTTCCTGGCTGTTTCCAGCATCGGGATAACTTTTTAATGACTGCTATGGGAAGGAGACCTTTCAAAGGAGACTTTTGAAAGCACCGTATCTAAAAATAAATAGATCAATCATCCACTTTACTAATCATCTGAAAGTGCATCCAAAATAAATGCTCTTTACTTGATGGAAAATGTGGCCTTGTGCAGGAGGAACCAGCAGCTGCCCACAGGGAGGGGCAGGAGCCTGGAGCCAAAGTGCTCTGCAGAGCTTGTGGGGGCAACCTGTGCCTTTTGTTTCCATTCCTGTGCAATCTGATCCACTCTTCTTGCTTTGGGGAGCTCAGAGGAGTGTCCCTAACTCTAGGGGTGTGTTGGAAGGAGAGCATGGCCAGCAGGCAGGAGGGAGCAGCTCTGTTACTGTGCTGTACCAGGCTGCAGGGGTACAACAAACAGTGTCTGATAACAACCTGCTTCGGGTACTTATCCCTGGAAGTGCTCAGGGCCAGGCTGGACAGGGCTTGGAGCAACCTGGGCTAGGGAGTGGCATCCCTACCCGTGGCAGGGGGTTGGAACAAGATGATCTTTAAGGTCTTTTCCAGCCCAAACCACTCCATGACTCTGTTCCACACTGTTGGAGCCCAGGCTGAGGGTCACTCTGTGCTTGCTGTTTGTGAGTTGCCAGTGAATTCACCTCTCCAGTGGTTCCTTTGAAGTGACACCAGGAATTCATTTGACTAATCAGCTCCATCAGCCCTGACCTGGGCAGTGCTGGGGGAGCAGTTTGCTCTGCTCCCTGATGTGCCTCAGGGCTCTGCCATGTGCCCCCCTTGCTGTTGTGTTTTCAGCCCTAAGCTGGTGCTGTGGGTGGGGGACACTTGGAGCTGTTGTGTTCCTGCTCTTGTTCCTGTTCTGCTGAATGACCCGGGGCAGGTCAGGTTATTGAAGTTGGTGGGAGATTTTCAGTGTGTGCAGACAGGTTTTGAGTGAGGCCCATTATTACCCTGTTCCTTTTAGAGCAGAAGTGCCTGAAATGGAGCACTGGATCAGGAGCTTTGCTGTGATTTGCTAGCATGAAAACAGCCTTAATTTTATTAAATCAGCTGACTTGAAAATGAGCCTTATTCCCCTGGTAGGCTCATCAGAATGGACACATCTGGACACTTCCACTCCTGCAGTCAGGAGGGAAAAACAGTGGTTGGCTCATTTGAAGAATGATAGTGAGGCCTGGTCTCTGCAGAGCAGAGTCTCTGAGCAGAAGATACCAAGCCAGGACCTGTCAAAACCTTTTCACGTTGGGTGATTTCAGCTTAATAAACTCTGCCTTCGCTTCTGTGGTGATTTCAGTGATGCCTTTTTATCTCTCAGCACCAAATGTCCTGTTCTGCAGTGACCTACATAGTGGGATGAGGTGGGTGACCAGGAGAGGCAGGTCAGGGAGTGGGTCTGCCAGAAGTGCAGAGGAAAAGCAGGACAGCTCACCATTGTTTGCCTTGTCCCACTGAGGTTCAGCACCACCCTGGGGGTGTAACTCTTTCCTGTTGCCCTCTTAGGTCTTTCCAAGTGCTTCATCTTGGTTGGAAATGGCCTGGGAACAGGGAGCCAGGCAGGGGAGGTGACATGCACAGCTTGCTGCTCCTTGCATTCCAGTTTTCCTGCTTTAAATCCAACCATGATACCTCACTGACAGACAGACTGAAAAACCACACAATCAGAAGTGATGCTGTTGTTTATCGCTACAAAGCCATATTTGAAGTATTTATGGGTTTTGGAGTGTAACACAAGACTGAGGCAATGGAAAAATAAGATCAGTGTGAGGAAACCCCTTTCAGTTTCCAAGGGGTTTGTAGCTGGGCTGTCTTGGCTCACACCTAAACCAAACATGCCTGGTTTTCTCCTCCAGATTTTAATGACAAATGGTGCTCCTGTGGTCTTTTGTTTTCTTTCTTTTTTTCCTTCCCCTTAAGAGAAAGTTTTTTTCACAAGATTTCTGCACAAGTCTTCCCCCCCTTAGGGATTTGGTCCCAATCACACTTTACCTGCTGAAGGCAGTGCTGCCCTTCACCTAATCCCCATTCCCTGTGTCCCCATGACAAGACTCCTGTGCACTGTGGTCTGATTCCTTGTTTTACCTCTGCTCTGGATCTCTGCCCCTTTGCCTGTGAGCAAGTTTGAGCCCAGCCAGCCTTTAACAGGTGCTGATGGAGGCTTTGCCTCCAGAGCTGCACCACAGCAAGGGGAGAAAGTCTCTGCCTGTGGAACTGTGGTAATCCTGAAAGACTGCAAAGCAGCAAATCCCCCTCGCCACGGTTCTCCCGTGTGTCTGTTTGTCCCCTCCAGCCTGTCCCCAGCCCATGACTCCAAGGTCGGGTCCTCCAGCACGGCCCTGCTTTCCCCTGGAGGCTGCGGCTCCCCAACAAGGCTGCTCTGCTCTGCTCTCTCCCAGGTGCAGGCGCAGCTGAGGCAGCAGCAGCAGGCTCAGGGCAGCCCGTCTCCCCCTGCCCAGGGGCAGAAGCTGGGCTCCCTGACCCCGCCGTCGTCGCCCAAGGCTCAGCGTGCGGGGCATCGCCGCATCCTCAGCGACGTCACCCACAGCGCCGTGTTCGGGGTCCCGGCCAGCAAATCCACCCAGCTCCTGCAGGCAGCAGCCGCCGAGGCCAGCCTCAACAAGTCCAAGTAGGTGCTGGGGATGTGGCCTCAGAGGGCAGGGAGGGGGCTGGGGAGCCTCTGAGGCCTCTGAGATGGAGGCGGGCGCGAACCTCTGAGGGCTGAACGAGTCTTTGCCTTCCCAAGAAACCAGCTCAGGGCTTGGCAGAACATTGCTGAAAAACTTGCCCAGAAGTCCTTCTGGGTGGTTCCACACCCTCCTAAAGCCCAGGGCCCTGCCGTGGATCACAAAAGCCAGTGTCATTTCAGCTGGTCACCAGTAGCCCTGGTGCACTCCTCGCGCTTCCTGCTTGGCATCAGTGCTTCCTGAGGGTTGGACTTGATGATCCTGGAGGTCTTTTCCAACCTTAATGATTCTGTAATTCCCCAGGAGTACTTGCCAGCTCACTTTTGTAGTATCTGCAGGCAAGAAACCTTCCCCTGGGCACTGCAGGTGATTGTTTCTAAGGGGATGCTTGTTTTAACCCCTGAGACCAGGATGCTCATCCAGCTGAGGAGCAGCTCAGGCTGAACTGTTCCTGGATTTCTGGGCATGCAAGTGCAGCAACTGGTGCTGAGTGTTTCAGTTAGGAAGTAATTACAATGCAGTAGCTCGGAGCAGCTGGTAGTGCTGGCCAGAGGATTTCAGATGGGTTATTAATGACTTGTTTGGTTGGGGTGATCACATCCAGATCTGCTTCCACCACACCCTCGGGCTCCCCAAGGACCTCTCAGCAGAATGTCTACAACCCGCCCGACGTGTCCACATGGAACCCGTTTGATGATGATAACTTCTCCAAGCTCACAGCTGAGGAGCTGCTGAACAAGGACTTTGCAAAGCTGGGTGATGGTAGGTCTGTGGGGATGGTTTAACACCTGCCTGCTCTGGGAAGGGAACATGGCATGGAATGGTGATGCTTTGGTCCGGTGTTCCTTAGGTGCTCCTTGTTACTGCGATCCTCTGAGCTAAATCCTTCCCACTTCCCTTCTGTTTGCTCAGCAGTTCAGTGGTACCTCAAAGGCAGAGGTACCAGCTGCTTTTACAGTGGCCCTGCTCAGTTGTCTGTAGAAGCTGCAGCTTAAACTCTGCTTCATCTGCAAGTTGGGATTTGCAGGAAGGGGCTTAAGTCACACACTGAAATAGTGTCCTAACCAATATAGATAAGCAGCCTGCTTTCAGAATGGAAGTTTTTCCCCTAACTCAGTGTCTGGCATTTCAGGGAAAGCTCCAGAAAAGGTGGGCAGTTCCACAGAGAACCTGATTCCAGGTTTCCAGCCGGCTTCGTCTGCAGCCCAGGCAGACGCGTTCGGCGGCTCCTCCTTCGCCGCCGGGTCAGGTGAGTGTGTGAATGAACTGCAGGGCAGTGCCCTGGGCAGCACTGCAGGAAAACAGCACCTCTTGGTCACGATCTCTTTGAAAGGGAAGCAAAACTGCTATCAACTGAGCTGGGCCTGGCACCAAGAACTGGCCCTGCAGTAGAAAGGGAGGGTAGGAAGGGTGCGTGTCCTTGTCACAGTTGGGTGGCAGAGACAGGAGGCACTGTCTGTAGGCAGAGGTGAGGCAAGAAACTAAGTGAGCCCCTTAAGTTCACAAGAAAGCTCCTTGTGTGTTGGAGTTCCATGGAGCTCATAATTAGAGGTAAAACATGTTTTGTGCACTGAGGGAATTGGCCTCAGAGATGTTGGTCGGACACGCTGGAGCTGTCGGGCTGTTGGAAGGAGGAGAGGAGCAGGGATGGGAATGTCTCTGCTGGCAGGAATGAGTGAGCAGGGAAGGTCCTCAGAGGACAGCACAGTCTCATAATTGACATGTGAAATGATGAAGGCAGTGAGTTCTGTGCTGGCTGTGCTGTGTGGGTCCAGAGGCCCCGAGTCCTTGGCTGGTCTGAGGGTTTGCTCTGCAGAGGCCTCTGGATGTGGGACCTTGTCTGGGGTCTCCTTTGGTCCTTGGGCCCCAAGGTTTTGCCCTGAGCAGCCCAAAAACCTCAGTGAGTGCTGCTGCTTGTTTGTAGTTCTTCAGCATCAGCTGTCACTGAGTGCAGCCCAGACCTGCCAAGCACAGTGTTGGAAAGCTGCTTCAGGAGCTCCAAATGCCAGTGATCCTCTCCCTGCCTGGGGCAGCCCTTGTTACTGGTGACAAATGCAGCTGTTTGATGCCTCCCCATGAGAGCAAAACAGCCCTTGGTGAGAGGAGTCTGGGAAGAGACTGAAGAATCCTTTGTGGGGCAAGAAGTGACAGATCCATTTACACTTATTTCTGTTCATAAAAGGAGCTTTAGAGGAGCTTATAACTGAGCTTGGTAGTTGGCTCTTACTTGAGAGTTAAGGAGTGAAGTCCATGGAACAGGAGTGCTCTGGGGAGTTGCTTTCTGCGTTTGTCCAGCTGTGAGCAATTTATGGTGTTCCATCAGCCTTTGTGGGGGGGTGTTGAGCAGCAGCAGCCCCAGACTCAGCTGTAATGTACCTTCTGAAAGCCTGAGGAGCCTCTGCATGTTCTGGGCTTTCTGGTCACTGTTCTGTGTTCAGTTCTTTCAGTGGCCACTTTAAGATGTGCCCTCGACTCTCCTGTCCTGGGCTTTGCACAGGAGGGTGTCTGGGAAACCTCAGTGCTGGGCTGGACCCTTCCAGCCCTCCTCTTTCTTTCCTCAAAGACAGGAGTCTCTCCAGGCCTGTCTAGTACAAGATGCTGCATCTTTTATTCCAGACACAGAGGCCTGATGTGGGCTGTGTACCCTCTGCTGAGGCTTTTCACCTTTTGTGCTGCTGTGAAGGGAGATAACAGGCCTTCCCTGCCAGGGAGTGTTTTGAGATCTGTCAGTTAAAGTGTGTTGGAGACTACATGGTAATAGCTGTTTGGTTTTGTTGTTTGGTTTTTTAGTCTTTTCACTGGCAACACGAACTGCATTTGAGTGTGTGTGTGTTGTTCTCTCAGGCTGTTGTTGGGCTCTGACACTGAGCTGTGTCTGTGCTGAGACTGCTCGATGCTTTCTGCTTTCCTCTTCTCTGTTTCACTCTGCCTTTTCTCTTCCTTTTCTCTCCCAGCTGAAAAAACGAAAGACATTCTGAGTTTGGACTCTAGCCCTCCTCTTCTGACTGTGCCTGATCCTTTCATTCCTCTCCCATTATCCGACACGCCAGGTAACAGAGCAGAGTTTGTGGAGGGGGGCAGAGTCTTGGGCTTGGTTTTGTCCTCCTAATGTTCTGGTTCTGTTTCCAGGCACTCTGAAATCCTGGGCTCAGCCAGTGGTGCTGGGCACTGACAGGCTCAGCTGAGCTGGGGGCAGTGCTGATGTGTGTGCTTGGTTTTCCTGGCAGGCCCCAGGGTTGTCTCCTTGTTCCTGATGCCAGCAGTGGTGGTGTCTTTAAAGGTTCAGTATTCAAAGGCTGGAGCACCTCTCCTAGGAGGAAAAACTGAGAGCTGGGGGAAGAGAAGGCTCTGGGGAGACCTAAAGGGGCTCCAAGAGAGCTGGGAAGGGAGCTGGGACAAGGGCCTGGAGGGACAGGACAAGGGGGAATGGCTTCCCACTGCCAGAGGGCAGGGATAGATGGGATATTGGGAAGGAATTCCTCTCTGTGAGGGTGGGGAGGCCCTGGCACAGGTTGCCCAGAGAAGCTGTGGCTGCCCCATCCCTGGAAGTGTCCAAGGCCAGGTTGGACGGGGCTTGGAGCAACCTGGGCCAGTGGAAGGTGTCCCTGCCCATGGCAGGGGGTAGCACTGGATGGGCTTTACAATCTCTTCCAACCCAAACCATTCCATGAATCTATGAAAAATAACCATCAGGTAATTAATCACCTCCTCTGACCTAAGCTCTTTTCAAATTGGTCTCCAGCTTTGAAATTGTAGGTTTTATTGTTGTTAATCCTTCTTTCCTGGAAGAGTCCGTGTTTCTTTGGCTTCCACGGTCTGCTGCCAATTCGTGCATCATGTGAAGCACAAGTTACATGTGACCTTTTCTGATTTGGCAAAGTTTTCTGGTGCAGTTGGTGCTATTTCCATTTCCTTTGCAGTGCTGCTTCTGTCTTTCCTCTGTGCACATTTCTGCCTGCAGCAGCCAACACTTTTTAGCACAAGATTATGTAAGTGCTTAGGAGCTTATTTGCAAATCGGTGGGATTTGGAAAATGGGAATGTTTTTATCTTGGAGTCTCTCTAAGCCCTCCAGTGACTGTGTGTGACAGGTCCCTTGTCACTGAGCCCCAGACAAGTGCTCGTGGCAGCTTCCATCCTTAGCCCAGGCTGTGGATCACTGGGGCTGTGGCAGTAGAGGACCCAAACCTCAAAATGTGCTTGTGAAGGTGGCATCTCTCCATGGAGAGCTGAGCAATTCAGGGGAAAAATAAATCCCTTGTTGTCCATAAGTCTGAGGAACTCGTTTCCTTCTGGTGGATGCTCAAAGAGCACGAGGAGTGTGGTTTGGTCCAAAAGGGATTTTACATAAATGCTGCAGTGTGAGGGTAGAAAGAACTTGGAGGCTTTGTCCCCTGTGTGGGCAGTGACCTGCCCAGCTGTGACTTGAAAAGAGCCCCCAGGAGGCACCTGACTGCACGTTTTCCTTCCCCCCTCAAATGCTATTGGAAGTGTTGTTTTTCCTGGTTGAAGTCTGTCACCTAGACCGTGTAATTCCCTGCCAGCATCATTCCCAGCTCTCACAGTTGCACCCCAGGAGGTTTTCCTTGCTGCCTGTTGCATTTCCATAGAGCACAGCCCCAGGGAGCAGCAGGTGAGCTCCAGCTGGGGGAGCTCTGGAATTCTCTGTGGCAGAGGAACCCTGTGCAGGAGTTGCCTGCCAGCCCTGCCCTCGGGGGCAGCTCATCAGAGCAGCAGTTGGTGCAGTTCCTGTGGTGCCAGGCTGCCCCCAGGGCTGGCCCTGCCTGGTTGTGCTTGTGCTCTCTTGCTGCTCTCCCCGTGTCTGGTCCCGTTGAGCTCAGTGGATCCCCTTTTCTGGGGCCAAGGGGACGCAGGAGATGTGGCTGTGTTGGCTTCCTGCAGGTTCCTGCCAAGGCATCTCTCGTTTATTTTTCACCTTTTAACATAAAACTTGAGGCCAGGAGCTCATAAGTGTTTTCAAGGGCCAGATCTGTGGACTTACCCTTAGCTTTCAAAACCAAGAGGGTTTTGCCTGCACTTGTAAATTCAACAGAAAAGATAAAAATCCTGGGATTGGGCTCAGGTTTTGAGTCTGTGTCTATCACGTAGGACAGAGTTGTCTTTGTTCCTCTGTGTTACCTGTGCAGAACCATCCCCCAGCACAGAGAGGGATGTGCTGACTGCAGGTGAACAGTGGTTTTAGTGGTGCCCTGTGAGTCAGCAGAGCTGGGAGTGACTCCAGTCTCCCAGTACAACATCTCCAGTTGCACCTCATTGAGCTGCCTCAGTTCTTTGCAGGAGCAGCTGAATTTCTTGGAATGCTTACTGAATATTTCCTTTCATTTGGAGCATTTTTATTCCCGAGAAAACCTTGATAATAGTGAATGTCCTTACTTTGAAAACATTTTACTTTAGTCTTTATAGGCTGGGAGGATGCACAGCCCTTGCAGAAGTTCAAGTGTGAGCCTTCACCCTGTGCTGGCAAGGGCAGTGTTATTGAGGAGGGCTTTCAGTACCCAGGTGAGGTTTTATTGGGTGTTTTCCCTGTTTGTCCCACAGAGCCAGTTCTGGGAGTTCTCTGCCCTCCAGACCTGCAGCAGCTGAAGGACTGGCTGAGGCTCAGCTGCTTTTTCTCCCTAAGGCACAGCCCTGCTCCCTGTGGCACCTGGAGGTGTGGGTGGCATCACTGGGGCGTTGGCCAGAGCCCTCCTGGGCCTCTCCCCCTTCCCTCTGCGTGCTCAGAAGGACAGATGTCATCAGGGGGCAGTGGGATGGTTTTCAGTGTGTTCCTCCTCCTCCAGTGTGGACTGGCTGCAACTCTTAATGGAATTGTAACTAGTGAGAGGAGCTGGCAAGGGGGATGTGAAAATATGGCAAAACATCTGGTAAAATAAGGAGGAATTAAATATTCATGCTGAAAACATTTTTCCTTGTGTATGTGCAGGAAAATGAGCCAAGTTGTTCTTAATGAGCTTATTGCAGGAGTCAGCACTGACTAATCCTAATGGAGTGTTGATCAGTGGTGACTCTGCGTGGGGCCACTGAGTGTCTGTGCCCAGGAATTGAGCTCCTGGGAGCTCAGGGGGCTGCTCTTTGCACGAGGTGTTCTGGAGGAATCAAATTGAGTTATGCACCTGAAATTAAACTCAGTTCAGGACAAGTCTCTGTCCTTGAGGTTTCACTCCCTGAGTGGTCCCAAGTCTGGGGTTTCTAAACCTGCTTTGCAGAGCTTTGACTGAGAGGTTTGACCCAGAGCCCCTGGTGCTGCTGCTCTGGCCCATGTCCCGTATTTCCCTCTGCAGTTGGAGTGTTAAATGCTGTCCTGACGTGGTTACCCACGTCAGCCATCCATTAGATGAGGTTTCACACACATCCTTTTGACTTCAGGAGCATCTGCTCACATCAAGATTTTGATAAGTGCTGGCTGGGCCCAGGGAAATGTCCTCTGAGATACTGCCAGAAATGTCCCTTTCAGTTGTTTGGGGTTGGTTGGTTTGGGGTGGAAGGGGCGTCTCCTCCTTGTCTTATTTCCAGATAAATTCCGTGTCAGTACTGAGTTCAATGCCACTGTGGCACCATGAGTCAATCCTTTTTACCCTTTTTTAACAGAGCTTTGATCATTCTTTGTGAATTCACACAACCCTTTCCTCCCTGCAGTAATTCAGCATCAGCTGCAGCTGAGAGACAGACATCTGTGGTGGAGGGACTGACTTGTGTGAGGAGCAGCAGCACCAACCAGCCTCTGCCACATTGTCTTGCCCTTAAAAAATCCAAGCTGAGAGGAATTCCACGCCCAGCACAGCTCAGTAACCATGCAGGGATAGCTGGGGGAGGATGCCCAGGCCAGGGAAGGAGTCTGTGCCAGCTGGGCATACACTGAACTCTTGGTTTTCATGGAAAGGCAAACACTGTTGCTTAGTGTCACGCTGGGGTTCTCCAAAGCCTTTAAACAGCACTTTAGGGATGATGTTTGCCTTCCTATTCCTTACAAATGCTCTTGGACTGGTGTGTTTCCACCTTACCCTGAGGATGCTCACCAGTGCAACTTCCAAACAAAACATGCCCACACCCCTGGCCTGATCTAGAGCTTTGGTCAGCAGTGTGGGGCCCTGGTAACCATTCCTGCTCAAAATGGAATTGGCTTCAAAAAACAGAGTTTTAAGCAAAGAAATGACTCTTCTCACTGTGTTGAATCTGTGGCCTTCAGGAGCTCCAGGAGCTGGGCCCCAGCTTTGTCCCAGGGCAGCACAGGGAGCTGGGGGTGAGGGTCAGGCTTTTGCAATGGTTGAAGAGCTGGAAGTGGGACAGAATCGTGAGGTGTTGAGAGGAGGGTGCTGGGAGTGGCAGTTTGTGGCACCTGGAAGCACAAGCTGGGACTGAAAGCACCGACAGCCTTGTCAAAACACACGAGTTGAGCTGCTGTGACAGGGCCACTGTCACTAATGCAGGAGGGTCTTTTATTTTGTGGCACAAAATACTTGATGAGATGTTTTTAATCAGCATAACTCTGCCCCAGGCCCATAAATTCTGATAACTGGGTGCCCATCTATGTCAGGGTGTTCACAGCAACTGTAACAGAAAAACTGTATTTCCAATGAGAATTTATTTGTCCCAAGATGACACGTTGAGATAAAGTAATTACAGACATGCACAGCCACATATGGGTGTGTACTAATGATCTGAGTTTGCATCTTGAGTTGGGAAGATGCAAAAGGGCAGCTACTCATCTGGGAACTTGATGGATTAATTGCTGCATTAACTGAGAGGACAATATGGTGTTGTGGTGATTTGGGGCCAACAGACCTTGGGAATCACAACTAAATGGGTGTAAACAGCATCTAGTGTTGTTCTGCCAGGGCTTTGAGCTTCATCTGAGGGGGTATAATTTATTATTTTACAAATATTTGAGATCCTGAGTGTGAAACTAAAATTACTTGATTTTGATTTCTTAAGGAGCCACTGTTAAATGTTGTCCAGTTATCCTCCATGGTGTTTACAAAGTCCTGTGTATTTGGAGCATTCCAGTTGCCTTTATTCAGCTTCTCTTCCTG